GTGTGTGTGTGTGTGTGTGTGTGTGTGTGTGTGTGTGTGTGTGTATGTGTGCCTTTCATTTATTCTGCCTGCAGCTTAGGTATTTGAGGCGATCTCTGTGGTTGACCCTTCCTTTTTTGACCAAACCACAGATTACATTCAGTTGCAAATAAAACTACCATCATCTTCAACTAAAATTATGTAGGAGAAACAAATGTCACTGGAAGTTGTAGTTTTTATATTCCACAGCAGCATGTGCTGCTAGCTGTTTGTAGTATTTTTAGTTGCAAGGATTCATTGTCAAGATTATTCACGGCAATTTAATTATCACTGTTTTATAAATAGCTTGCTGCTACTAACTTCATTTCAGTCCAAAGATGGCTACAGCTTGGGGAGTTACATCACTCATGTCTTCTTGACTGCCATTTTGAGAATAGTAAAAAGCCACTCTGAATATTATTTTGTTGAATTTATAAGCTCTCCTTTTTGATCCTAAGAGGTTAATTATGATCACAGAAGTGTTCTCTGTTACAAAGCAGACTTTTATTTGTCTTTCCAGCATGTTTATACATTTGCTGTTTGGCAGCTGTTGGATTAGTTAGTTTTGCATCTGCAGGTAAGTTGTTAAAAATTAATAACTGTTTGCCTTCATTAAGGTTTAGCTGCATTTTATTAAAGCTAAGATTTCATTGTATTTGTACTAAAAACCTTTTTTCAAAAACAAACTGCATTTTTCTTTAAACTACCGTACACATTTGTTTTTTGTCTATGATAAATACTGGACTTCTTCACCTCCTAACATTTATATTGTTTCTTAAATTGAACAGAAACCAACTGTTTTATCTGCATGGATGTGGATATTTCTGATTTGGGTGTTCTGAACTGTAATTTCATCGTGCTCACTGTATGATGACAATAACGGTCTCTCGAAATGTGATGGAAGAAATGTTTTCTTTTGCTTTGACTCAAGACAGTTGTTAATGTTTCAATTTTACAGTCATCTTGTTGCTCATTCTTGGTCAGTGAGGATCTACATGGTAAGTGTGACTCMATATGAACACACCTTTGAAAATGCTTAAGAAACACAGCTTATTTCTTTGCTGTTTTTTTTTTCCAGTTGCTCCCTTCTGCAGGAGTCGATTCAGCAAGCAAACTTGCACAGCAGGCTGTTTTTTTAATGTTGGATGCCCTTCCTGACACCATCTGAGCTCAAATCTGCAACTTCAGAATAACAAGACTGCAGCACTGACCACCAAGATACCACTGCCCTGTTAGGCTTCCTTTGGATGGATTTTGCCTACACTTGTTTGTTACCAACCACCTGTAAAATGTCTGGTTATTTTACTACACACTGACCACCTCAATCAATTTTTGATCTGCTTTACTTTAAGAGATTGGAACTAAAAAAGTTTATCATAATCTTGAAAGAACAAGTCAACCTAGAATATTGTTAGTTAGAAGATAAAAGAGACTCTTGGCTTTTCTTGTGAATCATGTCAGTATTACTGKATGTCAGCTTGTTTTCCATTAGTCACACATACTTGCGCAACTTCCTCCTTCTGTCAGTCATTGTGCTGCCAGGAGAGGGCTGCGGTTTTCTACAAATCAATGTAGCCTACGTCCTCCATTTTGAGACACTAATTCAAGATCATCCCAACACCAGTTATTTTTGGCAGCAGAGACRCAGCTGATGATGACAAAACAGTTGAAAGGGGGTCCAGTTTCAACACCAGTAAAGCTTTGTTGTTGTTTTGTTCTCTTTAGTTTGAATTCCCCATTATGAGAGAGAAGAAATGTTCCACATGAAGAAGTCTGTGACTTATTTAAATAATTGTGAAAATAGTTTCTCTAGAACAGTGTTTCCCAAGGTTGGGGTCGGGACCCAAAGTGGGGTCCTGAAACATCAAGRTGGGGTCCTGAAAAGATTTTCTGAATTAATTACATTTTGCCTTAGTTGTTACAAAGGAGAGAGGTTAGTATATTTAAAATGGATAAATGTAGTAAAAAAATATTGTTACTATG